GCCAGGGCGGCCCCGGCTCCAGCGACGGGGCTGCCCGGTGCCCTCTCGTGCAGCCCGGCCTGGCCCTGTCCTCACGAGGCGCCCTGGGCTGCTGGTGGGCGTGAGGGCAGCCGGGCAGGGCTTGGGCCGTGGGGGAACCAGGCAGGGGCTCAGCCCGCGTTCCTGAGCTGGGGTGTGGAAAGTTGCCCCCTCCCCAGCAGCGTTCCCAGCCGTGGCCCGGGGCTCCGCAGCCCAGGGATTCGGGGCTCCAGGGGCTGCCCCTTGGGGGCAAAGCGGGGGTGTGGGGTCAGTGCTGCTCCAGGGGCCGTGGGCAGCTGATCTACAGCCCCCCACCGTGTGCCTGGAGAGGGGGCATCTGCAGCCAGCTCAGCCCGGGGCAGCCGTGCAGGGGTGGGACTGCTTGGCAGTACTGCTGCCAGCCTGGTGTGTGCCCATTTCCCCGCCATGATTGCACACTGGGAAGGAACTGGTTAGTGACAGGACCCTGATCTCCACGTCCTGGCTTAGCCAGGTCCCTCAGCAGTGCCGGGTGGGCCAGCACCCTCACTTGTTGGAGCCCGGGAGATGGCGCCTGGCGTGACAACCGGGGACCCCTTACCTGCCTTCTGCAGGGCCCGGAGACAGCTCCACCTGCGAGAGGGGAGGCAGGTGGCTCCACTCGGGGAACTGCGGACCCGGGACAGGGGCCTGCTTTGTGGGGTCGGAGGTCCCGGGGCCAGTCCTCTGCACAACAGGATGGGAGGATGTCCTGCTGCTGCCAGGCCCAGGCCCAGGCCCAGGCTGTGCCCCCGCTGCAGGGGAAGGGGAAACCCCCCAGTGCACACCAGTCTGAGCAGGGGGGAAATCCTGTCCTGCCCCAGTGTGGCATGGGGCTGAGCCTGAGCGCAGGGCCAAGACCCTCCAGCCGGGACCCTGCAGGGTTGGTGCCAGCAGGAGCATTGGCACAGCCCCTCAGGGGGGGCTTCAAACCCCCCACACATGGAGCAGGAAGGAGGGGAGACAATTCCTTCCCAGCCCCATGCAGCATCCAGCAAAGCCCAGGAGCTTGGGGAACCAACACACGCTCCCTTGGCTCTGCCTGGCAGCCTGTCCTCTCCCTGAACTTGTCCCAGCTCCGTAACGCTGTTTCATAACCAAACCAGTCATGGGCTTTGCTTCGTTCTCCTGCTGCTCCAGTTTCTGGCCTCCAGCAGCTGCTGCTCAGCGCTCTCCAGGTGCCTCCCTCTTCTCTGTGGCACCGTGTGAAGGCGGCTGTCATGTCCCCTGTTAACCACCTAGAAATGTGCTTATGTCTCAGCCTCTCCTCGCATGACTTTGCATTTGAAGCCCTTCATTACTTTTGTCGCCCACCTTTGGGCTCGCTTTCACGTCTGCACGTCCTTTTAAAAACCCGAAACTGCTCACAGTATCCAGATGAGGCCTGACCATGTCAAGAACAGCCCCTATCACGCACCTCCCGTGTCTTCCACCTCATGCTTCTACCGGTGCCCAAAA